CAGTGACGTTGGGAATATTGTAGGTGGTCGGCTTGCCGCAGTGTAACGACCGCACGATACCCCGTCCTTCCGCGAGATGCCGCTTGATTCGTTCAAAATGTTTCCGAAAGTCGGTTTCCATCGCCCAGCGAAGTCTGGCAACTGTATCGTAAATTGTCAGATCTATGCTCCAAGCACGTCTTCAATAAATTGAACGCACAATCCCCCCGCCGCATGTGAGCACCTACCCACACTCTGCCACCAGTAATGCTTCTCATGCGCTCGTCGAGGATTGCAGCTAGCTCGAAGACATTGTCTGGAGTTCGCATTTCGTGCAAAACCAGATTCGTGTATTTTTCTCGCCCGTGCATTGTAGTAAAACGCATTGACCCCTGTGCGATTTTAGTGTCTATGAGCCAATTAAAGCTGGTACTGTTATTTATTTTGGCATTACCGGTTTTCTCGTTGCGTGAACTTCGCCCTTGAGTAGGATAACCTCGGCTTTCAAATGAGCGTAATCGTCGTGGAAGCCTCGCAATGAGTGTCGAGGAGCCGCCTGTCGAATGGGAATGGCAACATCCTGGACCATCTCTTGCCCGATTCTATGGGTGGGATCAGCGATCTGTATAGGGATTCTGTGATGCTGAGAACTTACGCTCCCTCGTAAGTATACAACACTTCCCAGCCATTCTCTTGCAGGACTTCCTCCATGCCTTCATCAGTGGAAATATCCCATGCATGATCGCCGTTTTCTTGTAGGACTTTGCGTACCGCATCCCAGTCCAAAATACGTTTGCTAGCGGGCAGGACTGCTTCTAAAGAGAGGCATAGAGGTGACTTCATGCTATCTTTCCAGCCTTCGTGCTCGCAATCGTCCTCGTGGCGACCAGGTGGACACCATTGTCCTCGCGATTTCATGCCCGCTGTTAACAAGTCCACGCGATTGGTTCCGGTAGGATCGAACTTATTGTTCTCGATTTCGTACAGACTGGGATACATGTTTCCGAGAGCGCCTTTAGTGTGATATTTAGACGAACTCCACTGTCCATCGCTCGACTCATCTTGCGGAGAAAGGCCCTGAAGTCGAAGATATTCCGAAATGAGCATAACGGAGTGCGTGTGCCGCAAATGAGTGAGATTGAACATAAGAGTGATGGGTATTTTCCAGGCCATCCGTTCATTGACCGGGAGCCCTCGCCAGTCACTGTGGCTAGTGGCGTCACCTTTATTGATCATAGAAGCATAATCGGCGCAGACAGCACTAGAGCATCGGTACTCTCAGCGATGATTGATGGGAATGGAAATCACTGACTGACTTGTCATATTCGCATGCCCGTGCATAGACGAATGATGGGATGAGGACAGTACGGTTGAGAACTTGGGCGTGCATCAAAGAGGCTTCAATGATGTAGCGCATCTGCGGAAAACTAAGTCGGTGGCTCGCCGCTCATATCAGAAATATTACCAACATTGTTCCATCCTAACCACAGACTGTAGTCTCGAGCATAAAAACCATTCGTTTTGGCGGCTATTCCTCGAAGAGAATCTAAATCGAGTTCTTCATCAGGAACATAAGAAGTCAAAATGTGCGGAGGAGCCTGATGGTTGGTCGCATGACTCCATGAATCTGGGCCGAGTTTGCGGTACATAAAGCTTGGAGTAAAGCCTTGAGTTAGATGATACCCGCCTATGAGGCCAGTCACGATACCCAAGGCAATTAAGATTGCCACTGATACTTTGGAGCGAGCAGCCCTAGTCATTGCACAGAAATATCGGAAAAATCACGGTCGAGCGAGGACGAAGGTGTGTAATGACTAAGTCCAGTTCCAGCTGAACGTTTGATTCGAAAAAGAAAGAAGGTGGAGTGGCGGCAAGGTGCAAACTTCAAGCCATTTATCATTATTCGAATGGGAAGCCAAGATATCCGTAGGATCATCGAGAATGGGAGCATCCAACATAAGAGGGCTAGTCCGAAACAAACACAAGGTATAACCGGACTGCAAAGGCCGGTCATTTGCAGCCAAGGGTATGGAGAGAAAGTCGCCTAATGTTTTCTATGTACTAGATCTTATTTTCAGCCAAACTCTGGAGTTGTTTTAGCGTTGGTTCAAAAAAAGGCGCGAGCCATGGGTAAAGGCATGCATCACCTCTTGGCTTTCCAGCTGCACAGTGTTCTAGGAACCGAAAACGCCAATCACCCAGTTCTGATGAAGCCAGTGTTTAGGTTCCATGTGGTTTCTGAGGGATCGATCAAGCACAAGAGAACGGTTTCACATGGACACTGATAGCTCTTGGCAAGCTCTTGGCGCTCGGGGTGATGAGAATGATAATCATGGCCGGAAAGCGAGACTTTCGTGGAAGCTCACACTTCTAGCGAGGGTGTTGCCAATCTTTCATAATACCAGATGTTCAAATTGTTTGAGCGCATTTACAAAATCGACTATCAGGGGAACTGTAGGGGATGGCTGGGAAGTAATATATACGGACAACATGGATGGATGTTGTGGTCTTGTGTAACATGTTACACAGTACCGATAGGCTGGTCTGGTGACCGCATAGTTCCGATATGAGAGTGAGAGTACTTTCAATGAGCCGACACGATATCACTTATATTTGCTGTCAACTCCATCGATCTCAGCGGCAAGAACAACTTTCAATTATCAGTTCCGAACTTGTGCAAGCTTCCAATGGATATTTCGTGAGCACTTCTGCGAGCACATTCTCCTGGACTTTGAATATTCAATATTTCAACAACTTATTCGCTTAGATCGATTTTACAAGGAGGATACCAACACCCACTGTCGCGCTCATGGCAAGGCCGACGCTCACTTACAAAGTCGATGTTCATGTATCCCATTTTTATCACCGATGACCCAGACGCGAGTGTTATCATCCCCACACTTCCCGGACAGCGGCGATGGGGAGTTAACCAGCTTGAGGGCTTCTTAGGTCCTCTAGTAGCAAAAGGCTTGGGAAGCGTCATGCTCTTCGGTGTGCCTCTCAAGTGCGAAAAAGTAAGCCGTTAGATCATATGTGCATTAAAGTGAAGAGTTGGACTTTGGAAACAGGATGTTCGCGGAACCCCTGCTGACGACCCGTCCGGTCCCGTCATCCTTGCTATCAAAAAATTGAGGGCGTTGTTCCCATCTCTCTACATTGCTTGCGACGTCTGTTTATGCGAATACACGTCACACGGACACTGTGGTGTTCTTCACTCCGATGGGACAATCAACACAGAACCCTCGGTTCAACGCATTGCAGAGGTTGCTGTTAATTACGCATTGGCCGGCGCTCACTGTGTCGCTCCATCCGACATGATGGACGGTCGCATCAAGGCCATAAAACGAGGTTTAATAGATTCCGGCTTGGGCAATAGGTGTACTTTGATGAGTTACTCGGCTAAATTCGCCAGTGCACTTTATGGTCCGTTCAGGTAAGCTTCAACTACTTGTCCTCTTCGATTCCTTCACTGAACGGATACCGCAGAGATGCTGCTGGAAGTGCACCATCCTTCGGCAATCGAAAATGCTATCAGCTACCTCCCACAGCCAAAGGACTTGCTCGACGTGCAATCGTAAGAAACCCTTACTTATTTGGTGATTCCTTGTGATAGTCGCTCAAAACTCATTCAGCAACGTGACACCGTAGAAGGGGCTGACATTATCATGGTTAAACCCGCCCTTCCCTATCTCGATATCATATCCGACGCCGCTGAACTAGCACCAGACCATCCGCTCGCCTGTTACCAAGTTAGCGGTGAGTTTGCAATGGTCCATGCAGGTGCTGCAGCTGGTGTCTACGACCTGAAGACCATGGCATTTGAAACCACGGAGAGCATGGTTCGGGCGGGTGAGTAGTTTTGACCATGTTTACCCGGGTTACGTTCCTCACACATCTACAGGCGCAACTTTGATTCTGTCGTACTTTACTCCTGATTTCCTGGACTGGTTGGAAGTCTGAGGGCTGTATATTATATTCAATATTTGTCATATGTATTTCAATGCAATCACAACAAATGGAATTTTAACTTATAAGAGGCCGATGAGATAAGATAATCACTTGACTTCAGATCTTCAGACTTGATTACAAGCCGGCAAGACGGGTGATATCAAAGAACTGCCACATAGACAATGGAACTTCCCCAACTAGCCCCATCGGGATACTCGTCAGATACATGTGCAATATGCGGTGATGTTCTACAACTACCTCCGAACGAGGGTGAAGAAGTAGGTTACCTGGTCGACGATGTTGAACTGCGTTGTGGATCTAGACAAGGGGTGGGTGGACATCATTTCCACTGGAGTTGTATCACGGATTGGGTCAAAGAAGGAGGTGATCGAAGCTGTTGTCCAGTGTGCACACAGAACACGCTGGATCAAGGTGGATATTTCATTGTCGATATAAAGAATGAAGGTGGATTTACTGGGGATTTTGATCTCGGGCGTGCCATTGTGAGTTCCATCATTTTCGCATATCTGGGAGGAACTTATCCGTGTACAGGACGAAGATCTTGCTCTGGACGCCGATCCTCAAGAGAGATATAATCAGGCATTCCTCCACATGATGGAATCATCGAACTACGAAGACGCATCTATACTGCTCAACGAAAAAGGCGTGGATGTGAACTGCACCTACCCAGAAGGTGGTCAGACAGCCATGCATATGGCTGCCTTGCATGACGATGTTGAAGGTGTTCTGTTCCTCGTTCGAAATGGAGCTAGAATAGATCTACGTGATGAGGTAGGGATGACCCCCCTAGATGCGGCAAGCAGTCAAAATGGACAGCGAGTCATCGAATTTCTTTCTCATCCGGAAACATAATTTTTAAGTAGTACTGTAGTAGGCCAAGTAGGTCAAGTAGCTAGATAGTGAAGTGGCGCGTCTTGTGATAAAATTCTCACACATATTTTTTGATCCTCCCCGAGAAAACAATGCACATTTCTTCGGTTTTGAAGTCTGTTGTCCAAAAATTGACCTGTTGCAAGGCAGAATATGCGTTTCCCGAGAGAAACGAAAGGCTATCCGATCTGCCTGGATTGAACAGGCGGCCTCAAGATTCCAATTAACCATTACAGTCTCGCGCTCTTCCAACTGAGCTAAGATCGGATCGCAGACACTCACGACAAGTATGACCAAATGGTTTCGCGTGTGAACAAAATTTCGGCGCACTTTTACACCGTAAAATGCTCGCTTGATTTGTGATACATACCCTGATAACGACGAGGAATGTGAACGAAAAGATCCGATAGATGGCGATCGATAGCGGTTGATAATGTGGTTGGAAGCTGGAGATCGAGGTGGGTTTCGTCAACTTGAAGGTGCTGAGTCTTTGGAGAGACCAGCCAGCGACTACCTGGCCCAAATGTTAGGGGGAATGAATGTATGATGCTGCATACGCGTAGCTTACATTATTTTTTCCTTGAACGTAGTCTCTCTTAGGCATACCATGGAAGGAAGCTTGAACGCAACTTCTGAGCGTTCGATTTTCGGTGGTACCCCAATTGGGCAGGACCGATCACTGATCGATGACTAAGCGAAAGGTGCAAACACTGGCAGTGGCAGGTGCGATGCAACAGCCGCTACAAGTTCACTCCCATTTATGCTCCATAAGTTGAAAGACATGGTCGGCATTTGATGCAATCAACTCATCAAGGCGCTGTTTAGTCGAACCGCTTCTGCGATGATTTCTGTTCGAATTCAATCACTAATACTTGAGCGGTTCCCTTCAATAAGTACATATTAGATTTACTACAAGTGCCTTCAAGGCTTCTCCCTTGAACTCGGAACTGCACTGTCACTTGTGATCGATGTGATCGTCCAAGCTTCCCACTCTCGACCATGGCCACTTGGAACCAAGTCAAGTACAAAGAGTGTATACCTTTGTAAGCATCTTTCTTTCATTCCACCTCTATCTCATCAGTTTTCCTTTGACCATGTCTCAGAACGCCGACAGTGGCTCTCTCGTCCCAGCTACGGGTGTGACTGTGTCTGCTTCTGATCAGCATGCAGTTGCTGTCGCTCACCTCGTCCCACCACATGACCCTGCGCGTTATCACGATCACTAAGGATGCATTATTGACCCCTAGCCCGTCTTACCCGCTCAACTAGTCGTCTACTACACGTTGCTGTACCCTCCCGCTTATGATCAACCTGCCTTTTATCCAGTCTCCGCGCAAGATCCACGTTACACTCGTCCGGTCTTTCCAGAACAGCCCGCGATGCATCATAACGACCCAGCGCTAGCAGCTCAACATCCCCATGCCTCCGCGCAGATTGCCCGTGATAATGCAATTACGGCGCTGCCTCCGCACGCCAACGCGCCAAAACACGTGCTCTCTCTCTCCATAACCATGCCCTCAGATGCCGAAAGCGACCTAGTGAATACGATATCGTCGAATTGCTTTCGCAAATAGAGTCAATTGTCGAACGATTGCCCCCGATTCACCGCAAATCCGTACGCATTCGACAAAACGTTGTTCGTATTCGGCAGAACATTGTTGACCGCTTGGAATCGATCGCAGATGGCCTGGGAGTCTTTGGCTGCGGAGACGCCGGGCCAGCCAGGGATCATGGATATGACAACGGGAAAACCGAACAAGACACGTTGAATGCGCAACAGCAAGGCCTGGCAGGGACAGTGGTATGAGTCGTATATACACTATAATACTACTCACATTACATAGTTTCTGGTAGCTGACATCTGACCAGAAAGTTATTGCAAGGCGAGACGCAATTCTCCGCTCAATTAATGAACCCCCTATCATGGCTCCCCAGCATTTACCGAACTTGGGTCCTTCCAAGAAAAAGCTGACACATGCAGTTGCGGAGGATCTAGCATTTCAAAGACTATTGCGGGGATATCAGGGTGCCTCCTTCGCCGAATGGGTGCGTGCCACTTGTTGATGGTATCTTTAAACTGCTACTGATGGTTTTTAGGCGGAAGAAACTGCTCGCTACACTCCGAGCGAGAATATATCGACTGTGGTGCTAAAATGCCAATCATGCGACAACATGGAGAACATTGATGAACGGTTGGTTGAAAGATCAGTGGTATGGAAATAAGGCCTGTTTCAGATCATTGTGATACTGTTCACCACAGATGTTTTTCCAACGAGAAAATAACAAGGACAGGGACGACTTTCTGGCTCTCATTGTTCGACAAATTGAAGCAATGAAGTTTGCAATCGATTGGAGCAATCGCGGAAAACAAAAGGGTGGTAAGACGTGGAAAGGAAAATATTATGCTGATACTTTCAAAGAGCATCCGGATGCGAAGGGCCTCAATTCTACTGACAAACGGTATGCTATTGCGTTCAAGGCCTTTCGTAATCGACACGAAAAAGAAGCCACTGCCCGCAACCGACTTCTAGACTTGTACAACACGGTGTGCTGTTTTTTTTCTACTTTGCAATGCCGCCCCAGTGTTATAGGAAGCCAGTTCGGTCCAGGAGTTTTTCTAGATCCGTTGTGGGACGCATACGCCCACCGTGGTCGTGATTTTGTCCATGTGCTGGAATCGCTTTGCCAGTACATCTCGACGACCACAGATCCCGAGACCGGTCTTCCTGTCAAAACCTGTCTCATTGAACGCCACGCTGGAACCGCTGATGCTCTGCTCAACTTTGTTAAGTACCTGGGTGGGGTGGAGGCGCTTGAGTATGTGGACAACTTTCTGGTAACTTTCCCTCCTGCGGGAGATTCTCAAAATGATGCCATGTCTCCATGATTCTCGCAGTGTATTGCTATGTAATATCTTGCTCTTGCCACTGTTGCTAAGGTTGACTATGGATAATTGTGCGCTACTTACTGTCCCCAAGAGCCATTTGCACGATCACATGGATATAATCCATCATTGCGTAGGGCACCACAAGTATACAACAATTAACTATTGACAGTCTCGGGCTCTTCCAGTTGAGCTAAGATCTAATGATGCCTTGTGAGATGACCGAAAGATACGATATATCAATCGATAGCTGTTGATTATAGTATATGTCGATATCGAGCTAACTAGTCAGAAAATACCCCACCCAACTTGAAAAAGCCGGGGAATGATTTGAAGCAATCCGCTCCCTTGAAGATTCGAATGTTGTGCTTGCAGCTTTCGGCAGCTGATCACGACCAGTAATCGATGACTAAGCGACAAGTCTGGACTTAGCATAATTATTTGAATTTGCTGTAACCGCCTTTCTGGTAGTTCTCGATCTCAGTCTGCCATGGGCAAGAAGAGCAAAGACGACATTCCCAATCCAAACAGCGTCAGTAACAGAGACATAATCCAACGCCTGAACTTTCTTTACCAGGCAAGCGTACTCCTCGGTAACGTCCTTCCAGAGCACTCGAACAGCACGGATCCAAGTTCTTCAAGCTCGAACCCGATCCTTGCACAATCTACCGATAAACCTCGACCGCGGAAAAAGCCAAAAAGAGTCGTTACCACCTCAGAACTATCACGGAGCTATGTACATAACATGAAGATCGTCGGACAGAAGACAAACGTCAAGATGTTCGTTGTTCGTTCGCCTGCACGCCGATATAATCTAATCTCTTCATGCCTGACTTACATTACAGGGATCCTACGATAAAACGCGTACTCTGCAAGGGGTGCAATGTTGCGCTTGTACCTGGTGTAACGGCAAAGGTCCGCGTCAAATGTAGGTATTGGCCAGCTATCCGCCACACGCACTGACAGACCTGTTCCAGCATCTAAGACACTCGGTCATCTTGTTACCTATTCGTGCACTGCGTGTAATACGGTGCGGCGTCTCCCAGCTCCTCCTACGCTCCCTATCGACGCTACATCTCTGGCCGATACTACTTCAAATAACGCTCATGAAACTTCAGCTTCGAATCAGCCTGGGGACTCGACTACGGATGATGGTGTTGGCCCCGACCGTGAGGCGGAATTTGTACCCAAGGCGAGAAAACTACCCAAAAAAAAACCTGTCCCTCGTCTTCCTCCCCATTTCGCGCGCGACATTGGCCATGTCGTTTTTTGCGGCAATGAGAAGTTGCCTGTTGGGGAACGGTAGACAGACGTCTGGGGACCCTAAAATTTAGGGGGTTCGCCTTTATGATATCCTCGGAGCGAACTTTATGTTGTTCTTCGCGAGAACAATCACAGAAATGGGGTACAGACCAAACACATTATACATGAAGGTATTGAATCAAACGCACGCACTGGCACATTCACATTCACCACCCCATTTAAATTTGCCCTGCATAGCTGCCACTGTTATACAGCACTTCCTTTTCAGCTCAGTTCATCCCTATGAATTATGGCGCATGATGCACCCTGAAGCCTGAGACCTGAGGTCCTGGCATACCTTTCACTGGCATTTTTGAACACATCTAAAAGAGAATATGTTGTACTCCACATCCATCCATGCGAACACTAGTGCTCTGTGCCGCTTGAAAGAAACTAGTATACGCCTCGACGCGTCACACCGGGCAAAAGAAGAGTGCCTCTGTTTCTGTTGATCCAGATCCATTTTAGATTATAGGCCGGTGTTTTACATGCATCGTTTCACGACAACGTCACCTCCATTCCTCCCCACTCGAGCGCTCTGAATACACGGGTATCAAGTGCAAGCGCACGATTTACCCCGACGACATCGCTCCACCATCCCACATCTTCCTCTGCCTTTTTTGCTGCCCCAGGCCATTTGGATAACTCTTCATCAGGTACGCCCCTGAACAGCATAAAGATTCGCGTCACTATGGCAGGTTGGGGAGATATTCGGAGTGGTGCCGCGCGCTCGTAAGCGGCTTGAGGGATGAAGCGCAGCGCAACATGCGTGTGCTTGATTATATCCGGAAGCCAATACCTTCGTGAGTGAACGATTTAGCCATTGTACCCAAACCCAGGAAATAGAGCATGGCGAGCGAGGAACTTACGTGATGAATGAAGTTCTTGCTTCAGTATGTAGACCGAGGACCCGAAGTGCTTTGTCGAGATACGCTGACGCTTGATCTGTGCTGAGCACAACTGAATCAGTGTCGCATAAGTCGCAAGTACGTGGACAGAAGTATTCATCGGGGTTTTCTGTCTGTTTCGCCTCCAAAAGATTCGGAAGAGAGGTTGGAAGGGTTGGCGTATCATCAGTGCT